TAAACCCAAATATAAACCTTAAACTCAAATAGAATGGAACAAAATACATATAGTGTAGTATTATATTAAATAGTATCGTAGCAAAAAAATTTAATTTCCATTCTATATGCATTAAAAATAGATGATGTGGTACAAAACGCCACGAGTTACTTGCAAAAAATTAATAGATATTTTTTTTATTTCCAACAAATTGCATTGGTTGATTTTGGGGACAAAACATTATTATTACATAAAGTGGAATGTATGTATAGAAAAGATAAGATCTTTAGCTATTTATTCAATTATGTTTTTTTTTCTTTGGAAATTGGACTCTATAGACACACAAAAAAGCTTAATTAGTGAAATAGCCATTAACCCTAACAGATCAACACACGTCGTTATCTTTCCATATTAGTACTATTTTGTCCCTGCTACAACCGGTTAAACCTGCACAAAAAAGAAGAAGAAAAAAATATAATTATTAGGTGTAAAACTGTAACTCGTGGCTTACCATCCTTCCCACCTTCTTTTTCACTAATCTAAATAATTTTCTGGAAAGTGAAATGTCTCCAACAACGACTCCAGTCCTGCGTCGCCTTCTCCTCATCGAAATTTGCATCTCCTTCGTACTCTCATTCCAATCGTGTATTTTTCTTTGCATGTGCCATCCTCCGACATCATACAGCGTTAAAGTTGCAGCGGCTGTTAGTAACAGATCTTTCCTCTCCAACTTCACCAAGTCGATTCTTCTCAAATCTTTGGAAATACAGTAAGTTCTCAGGTGTTTATCTTTGAATCTCTTCATATGTTGTTATTTTTTTTTATTTGGGCGATTGTCGGAATTATGGTATTATAATTGGTAAATCTATAATTTCGATACCATTGCATGTTGGATCTGATTTTTGCATCGAAGTTAGCCAATTGATTTAGGGTTTTGGTTTCCCCGATTGTTCTTAATTTTGCCTTTTAGGGAAGATACATAGTAAATAGTATAGTAATAGTTTGTTATATGGAATAACATCTGTAAGATAACTTATCTGTGTGAGATCTCTTATGCCTATTTTATTTAAGATGGAATAGAAAAAACTATATGTACAAACTATTCTATTTGTGATGGAATAGTTTGTCAAACTATTCTATTTGAGATGGAATTGAATGATAAGTAATGTATGCGCTATAATTCTTTATCAACAATCATATTGTTTAAATAAAAAGCTATGCGGATTCTTGTTGTATGTGGTTGGTACATTACTATTTTATATTGATATTAGATTATAATCGAAAGAGTTTTCATTCTATTTAAACTGTGCAAAATGTTCTATATTATATCTAGTACATAACTAAAAATTTGCATCATATTATATAGGTTCTATTTGAGTTTATAGATCACTGATTAGGGTTTAGATTTAGTAAGTAGATTTTTTTGGGAGGGGGAGGGTGTTTTAGTATCTAAGCATAATAAAAACTAATGGACATGGAGTAAATTGCCCTTGATATACTATTTATAAAGATTCCATACTATGTCTAGTACGGAACGAGAAATTTGCAGCATATTATATGAATTATATTTGGGTTTATAGATCAGTGATTATGGTTTAGATTAAGTAATTACGAGTTTGTCTTGCGTTTTAGTATTTAATGGACTAAAATGACTCTTCTATTCTACTTATAGATGTTCCATAGTATATCTTGTACATAATGATAAATATGCATCATATTATATATATTCTATTAGAGTTTATAGATTAGTGATTAGGGTTTAGATTTAGTAAGTAGATTTTTTTGGGTTTTAGTATTTAAGCATAATAAGAGCAATAGAAAGGGAGTAAATTTTTCATGCTATACTATTTATAATTATTCCATACTATATATATAGTACAATACGAGATATTTGCAGCATATTATAGAAATTATGTTTGGGTTTATAGATCAGTGATTAGGGTTTAGATTTAGTAATAACAAGTTTGTCTTGCGTTTTAGTATGTAAGCATCTTAAGAACTAAAATAAAGTAAAATGGCTTTTTTTATTCTATTTATAGATGTTCCATACTATATCTAGAATACATAGTATGAACAATGTAAAGAAGATAGAATAGTTTAAACTTTTTCTATGTTATTGTAGCAACATTTCTACTATGTTATCCACCTTGTTATCAGGTTATCATGGATGACTTAATCTTTCTAATAAGATTGTTTGAAACAGGATTTGGCGATGTTGAATTCTTAGCAATTTGGGAAATTGTAATTGCTGAAAAGGGATGTCATGCATTACTTGTAATGTTTGTGCATTACATTCTCTGTAGTTTGTAAGTTTCTTATGTATTAAATTTTGTTTCAGGTTTGAAAACATTTGTAATATATAATGAAACAAAGTTAAACGGTAGTATTCTTTCCTTCTAAGCAATTTTGTACGGTCACTTGTAATATAGTCTTCTTTTGGACAAGGATTACAAATAAATTTAATATATATTTGTTTACTGAAAATTAAATAGTGTTATTACTTTATACCAATGTTTTAAATTTAATTTTATATAATTTTTATCTATAATTTCGTTCTCAGTTCCTCGCTATTTTACTTTTGATGCTCAAATTTATTGACTCACGATGTAAACATAATATATATGCAATTCTATGCTATTTTGAAAGGGTCTATATTATTTTATTGTCCATGAAATCTGTACTATTTAAAAACTTAGTTTTAGAGACTATTTATGTGCCATTCCATTTCTCTGCTATTTCAGTGATATGGAATAGAATATTTTGTGCATTTTTGCTTAGTGATTAACGTCCATAACATTTTAAATGATAACTTATGGGTTTATATTTCCTAACCTATGTTTAGTGATTAGGATTTATATTTGTTTACCTTTTGTTTAGTGGTGTAAGCAAAAGAAAGGGGTTAATCGCCAATGGATTGGGGTTTATATTTTCCTAATTTTTGTTTAGTGATTAGCGTCCATAACATTTTAAATGACAATTTATGGGGTTTATATTTCCCTAACTTATGTTTATTGATTGTGGTTTATATTTCTCTACCTTTTTTTAGTGAGGTAAACAAAAGAAAAAGATATAACAACTATTTCAAGATCTAGCTAATGGATTGGGGTTTATATTTTCATAACTTCTGTTTAGTGATTAGCGTCCATCCTCAATGTAGATGGTTACTTTCCTAACCCACCTCCTAATACCGTATGTAGTAATCCAACTTAAAAAGCATAATGGATTGGAGTATATTTTCCTAATTTTTGTTTAGTGATTAGCGTCCATAACATGCTAAATGATAATTTATGAGGTTTATATTTCCCTAACTTATGTTTATTGATTCTGGTTTATATTTCTCTACCTTTTGTTTAGTGGGGCAAACAAAAGAAAAAGATTAACAACTATTTCAAGATCTAGCTAATGGATTGGAGTTTATATTTTCCTAACTTTTGTTTAGTGATTAGCGTCCATCCTCAATGTAGATGGTTACTTTCCTAACCCACCTCCTAATACCGTATGTAGTAATCCAACTTAAAATGAAATATATGTTGATATGTTATACTACATAACCGTATGGAATAGTTCATAACGAAATAGCAAAGGAATCTAAAGGATCTGTAGATTATTTATAATCATTTATAAATACAATAGATGAATAGAAAAACGGAATGGAATGGATGACCTAGGTAGAATGGAACAGAAATAGGTAAATTGTTTCTCTATGTGCTTCATAAGTTTCGTGATTTAACTATCCTACAGAAAACCACCGTGTCATTTATTTTATAGCATGTAACCGGATAGTTGTTGGTGGAAGGGGGGTAAAACCAGATGAAAAGCATGCTAAATGTCAAATAATGCATTATGTCAACATCAGTGTTAGATCCTTATTTGACGTCTCAAATTTGGCTACTTCGCCAATAATCCATTTTTTCTTTGTCATACAGTTCAATTTCTCTATATTACCTAATAATGAAATTTTTTTTTATGTGATGTCAACTAACCCGACAACTTTCTATGTCGATCTACCCATGTGTGTATTGAAAGTCTTGTACTACCAATAAGGTTTGAAGAATGTTATAATCCAAGTCATATAAGTTGAGAGAATTGAATTTTAAAGAGTCACTTGAATCCTTTGTAATGTCATTAAGTCTTCTTACTAAACTAACTAGGGTAAACGTGTTATTTCCCCCACGAAAACTATCATATAGCATCAAATATCCACCGAACTATGATCTCGTGCCATATCTCCATGAATCGAAAGTTACACGCTTATTTCTCCCTGAATCGATAGTTCGAAACTTAATTATCCATATACTATGGTTTTTATTGGTTTATTGTTAACCATATAATTTAAACCAAATAAACAAGTTAATAATTCATTTTTTTAATCAAAAACGGGAAATGCTAATACACTATTCAAACATCACACTATTATTATTATCAAAGAAATTTTGAAAACTTTCATATCTTGAGAAAATTTGAAAACTTATTTTTTGATAAACTTGATTTTTGTTTTATTTTAAAAGTAGTTGGTAAATAATAAACCGGTTAAACCAATTTTTATGTGTAATTAAGTTCTAAACTATTAGTCTGAAGAGAAATAGATTTCGAACTATCGATTTGGGGGGAGGGGAAATAAGTGTATAACTTATAATTCGGGGAGATCTAGCTAATGGATTAGAATTTATATATCTTTTAAAAAATTAATAAAATTTTAACAATAATATCATTAGTTTCTTTTAGATATTGACAAATTTTATAGGTATTGTTTAGTTATAATTTTTAATAACTATACAAATATATAAAAATTTCTTAGTAATTTTATACAAATTGATTAACACATTTAACCAAAATAAATAGATTATTTTCTTTTTTAAATTCAAAATGTAAATATATTAATAAAGATCATTTAAATTAAACAAATTTATTTTTCCTAAATTTATACTTAATTAAATCAAATTTCTATTAAAATATTAATAAAATAATATATATATTAACAAATTTCATTTTAAGTATAATTTAATTCTTAAAAAGTCACTGCAGAAACCTAGTATAATGTGGATATCAATAAAACCAAACCAAAACAGAAAACATATCAAACCAGTCTATTCTAAACCGATAAATTATTTCACAATCGTAAAATTCTGCTCCAAAGCAACCAAAGATCGAACAACCTTATATTGATAATATCTTAAATTGTCGTAGAAGGTTGTTCATGTCTGGTGGTGCCATAAAATTGATTCGTTTATAGAAACCTTAATAGCATAAAAGAGAAACGCAGTTGAACACCTGTGTCTTCATCTTTCAACACTTAGGAAACGGTCTCTCTCGCAAGTTATATCTTCTTGAGCTTAGAGAAGGTCCCTGACTCTGAGAAGTAAGTGCTTTGAGTCCCACTGCCTAACCCTAAAGCCTGCTGAGGATTGCACAGCTCTATTCCCTGCAAAACAGAAAGCAAATTGGAGTTTCTAAAGTCAGACAACAACACTAATGGATCACAAAACATGAAACTTTTAAGAGAATTAAATGAAATCTTTTGTGTACCTGCACAGGAGTAAAAGCCAGACTCGATGTCAATCCAGAGGTAGTGGCCCCACCTGCATAGTTTCTTTCTTTCAGCCTGAAAAAGTCATTAATAAACATAACAACAATGAGATACACTGAAGAACAATAAAGATTAATAAAATACAAAAATAAAAAGTTGAAGAAACGGGTGAAATAGAGGTACACGTACTTTTTGGCGATCTTAGGGTTAATCTTCAGCTTGCTAGGAACACTGGATATACGCAGCCTGTTGCTCCCAGCCTGGCCAAGCATTCCATATCCTTCACCTAGTCCATCACCTATCATCACCATCATGAAGATCAAGTATTAGACTCAGTCCTAACGAAAAGAGGTTATTAACAAGCGTGTGAGGTACAAGAAACTTTACCAAGAGAGCTCTCTTCGGGTGTACCAAAAGCCATCCTGTTAGCAAGCTTCCTCATGTCTGTCACTGCATACCTGATTCGAAAAGAATAGTAACATAATGATTATTATTTCCATCTACAGTCATTAAAGCCCACAGAAAGTAGGATGAGAAGGGTTACCTTTCTTTCATTTTCCTTAGACGGCGACCACCTCTTCTCTTTTTAGGCTCGGAATCAGGAACAGGAAGTGGCTTAGGCTGCCTTGCAGGAGGAGGTTCTTGCCACTTCTCAATCTTCTTACGGATCTCCTCCCTAAAAGCTTTCCCATTTGTCCCCGATGGGTCTCCTCTAGTAGCATCAACTCTTGCTGCCAAAGTAGATTTTGCAGCCAAGATCCTACCTGCACGACTCTTAAGCGCAGGAGGCGTGCTTTGGTAAATCTCAGTCTGCTCTAGGTAACCCAGACGGGTCTGTGACGTTGCACTAGAGAACCCAGCCAGGTTCTTCCTCTTGTGGCCAAGAAGTTGAACATTACAGGCAGGCATTTTAGCAAGTGCTGACAAACCTCCAGCAGTACCCATCAGCTTAGCTGCAACAGCACTCCCAACAATGGCGGAAAGATTCGGTGCAATAGATCCCATCTTACTCTCAACAAAGTCAAGGACCTTCTTCCTCGCGGAATCAAGAGCTAGAGCTCGATCACAAGCCTCTAGAGTCTTCTGCAGGACATCCTCTGGCAGTGGGCTCCCTTTAGTGGTTAAGGCAGTGACTGAAACAACCATGATAATAGCAGATGGAAGAAGGCCTTCAAGATCAACAAGTGTTAAATCCGTCTCATTGCCTATCTTTTTGACAACGCGGGCATAATCAATAGGGTGGTTAACCAGCGATTCAAGCTCTTGAAACTTGAGTCTGTACTTGTCACGGATAAAGTTGTGGACGATGGCAATCTCATTCTCAATGTCAACTGAGAGCTGGTTGCAATCCACGATTAGCTTGTATTCAGGATCATCTTCTAGTACAGTTCCTTTTTCCGCTCCATCAGATTCCTTTCCGAGTGCCTCTTCAACTTTCTGAAAATACAAAAATGAAAAAAAAAAAAATATATATATATATATATATATATATAAATATACAAATCAGATTATATAACAGTTACATCTAGATTAACAAACCTGCATAATGTCAAGATATCTCTGAGATTTCTGGAGCTTAGAAACGGAGTCGAGATCATCGTAGTGAAGGGTTTCTAGGTCAGCCATGTCCATGTCAATATCTTGTTCATCCTTTCCATCTTCTCCCTCACTCTCATCCTAAAGAGATATAAGTTAACTCTCAAAGTAATAAATCAAAGACAGAGGAAATCAAAATTCTAGAGGCAAAATCTAACCAGTTCAGCTTCATTGTCAGATAAGTCATCAAGGTCTGCGAGGAAAGAATCTTCAAGGGTTGCCTACAATAGACCAAAGTATCAGACACACCCACCATGTAAGAACGACATAAAACTTCAAACAAATATCTAGCATCTAGGAAAACCCTAAAACTGAAATTCATATATCAAAACGAAGATTCGTGATTAAATGAATAAACGATAAGAGAGTTGATGAAATGCTTACCATAACTTTCACTTGGACCCAATAATCTCAGCGATTCCTCCTGCGGATTATGCGATAAAGAAAACCCTTATTCAGAAACCCTAATTTCTTTGAAGTTCGGAGGAGAAACAATGATTGGAGATGAAATTGAAGGAGAGTAGTCATCTCCTTCTTATTTTTAGTTTCAAAGTCGGTATTTCATAGACTTGGGCCTTAACTAGATGGGCTTTCTAACACCTAACATTCTTTTTGGAATCATCAATACTATTAAAAGGCCTTTTAAAAATTGTTTTAGCTTTCCAAATTTGGAAAGGTCACGTCACATATATAATAGGAGAGTTTTCTCTTCTCTTAAAATGTTCATCTATGAAGGGAGTGTACCCATATAATAATCAAATTATCCAAATTTTTTAAAAATGGCTAGGACTTTTGGTGATGGAGATGATGATTTCCAGATCCTGCTCTTCCTGATCTCAGTCCAGGACCACGACGCTTTCTGCTGCATCTCCATCATCACAAAGGAGACTATCCTACACTCCTTATGATCCAGGCGGTCTCTCTGATCTCCAAAAGTTATTTGGTTGGAGTATCTCTCACAAAACACCAGTCTCAGCACAACGAAGCCCCCCATCTGCTCCCTTAGGTGTTGTTCCATTGATTAATACATTCTTTGATGTACTGATCCCTTTAGCAATTCATGGATTCGTCTGCAACCATCTGTTGTGATCCAGATGTTTTGAGACAATCGTTTTCACCTGTACTATTTCCCGTGGTTAAGATCAACCCGATACCATCGTATGGGGTCCTTCAATCGGTCGAGATCTGCTCATATGGTAGATATAAAAAGGGAAATAAATCTTATATGATGACGATGACGATGACGAACCGATAAAGATCACAGAGAAAGATGATGCATTCATAATAAAGGAATCCTGACTGTCTCTGATTGGCAAGATCCTTAACCCCAAGAAGCAGAGTGTTGAGAAGTTAATCCAGACAAAGGCAAAGAAGTGGGGAATCCATGATAGAGTTACGGCAAACGATCTAGGAAATGGAAAGATTTTTAATCAACTTCAACATAGAAGAATATCTTACTGTTGTGCTTCAAAAAGGTCTTTTTCACTTCAACTATTGCATGTTTGTATTGGTGAGATGAGAGCCTATCATTCATGATGAGTACCCATGGAGCACCCTCTTATGAGTCACGTTCATTTGAATGTCATTGAACCTGCGGACAGACAGAAACCTGAGAAATATCGGAGGTAGATTAGGTCATGTCGATATCATATATCTTTCGGAGGGTCGTTTGCTTATTGATATCGACTTAAGAAGACCTTTAAAGTTTAAGAGGAAGGTACAGCGCCCTGAGGGAGAAGAGGTGACGATAAAAATCAAATATGATATACTCTTCAAGCATTAAAAAAATGGTGGTTTGATGTCACATGAGAAAGGCTACTTCCCAATTACATAGATTAACACTCGTCCCTAACCGGAGAGAGGGGATGTGTTCACTTGTGTGCAGCTACCACAACACAAGTCTGATCGACAGTCCTTACTGAGAGATCAACCTCCTAATAGGCGTGATCACAGAGGCAGTGATTACGGTTCTGGTCGTCAAGATTTGTTGGAGTCGTCTAAGCTTGCTAATTATCAAAGTAGCAGATGTATGGAGCTGTAATCTCGCCTGGCTGATTCACAAACTGCACACGATGGAAACTACAAGGAGGTGAGAGCTTATCAATCGCGCTACAGAGGTGATTCAAAAAGTTTCCCCAAACATTCTGATCAGATAATCAGAGGTGAAGATGATAAGTTAAGCAACAACTGTTCTCACTATGCCTATAAGCCGTATGATCGAAAGAGAGATCTGACTTCGCGTGAAAAGACAAAGAAAGGAATGGCATTTCTGTTGAAAAAGTAAAGGATGTTCCTGCAACATTTCATGCACTTGTTTCTTATGAACAAGTACCTGAAATCACAGATTCTTTACAACCGTGTGACTCTTGTTACCGGAAAAATGAGGGACTAGAGAAAAGTCAACATTGTCAAAGAAAAAGAGTGGCTAGTACTATTGTTTGCCCGGCTATTAAGATACCATCAATGGAGGAAATTGTGGTTATTCGCAGTAGGAGTGTGGCACGTTTTCTCCACAAGCTTATGGGAATAACGTAGGAGACGATCAGGTTATTGAGGCGTTGAGTGGTATGGGACTACAAGTAGCTGATGATGATGTTATGTTAGCTGGCAAGCATGACCTTTTAGGTGATGAACTCATGACTTGGAAGCAGCGACACATTCCTCATCCGAAACTGTTGCTTCAAGGTCTAAACCATCTACCAAAGCTTCAAAAAGTTCGAGGAATAGTTACAAAAGGAACACTCAGATGGGTATCCAAATAAAAAAAATCGAAGTTCCTCCGTCGGGGTTCTCCACGTCTGCGATCGGCTATCTCCTCTAATCAGAGATTGCCAGGTGACAAAGATAAGTCCAGACATTCTCATCATAGTTCTAAGAAGGCACGAGTAAGTTCAAACAAGGAAGATGGTTTGATGGGATCCAAAAATCCATCCACACATCATCCATGAAGGCAATCAGTTGGAATTGTCGAGGGATTGTGAACGACCTCACATTTCGACTCCTTACAGAGATGTGTCAGAAGCATCGTCCAAGACTTGTGTTTCTTTCTGAGACAAAAATAGGAGGCTGCTGTTGCAAAACATTTAGGCCAACTTAGGATTTGATCGTTTGTTTACCATTGGGTCACTTGGTCTCAGCGGAGGTTTAGCTTTATTTTCTATGGATGAATTTCAAAGTAATGTTTTATTTTCAAATAACAGAATGATTAACGTAGTCATTGATGGAATGTAAGTCTTTATGAGGTTTGTTTATGGTGTTCATGTGTTAGAACGTAGAGATTAAGTTTGGGGACGTCTTACGCATTTCTCGACAACAAGATATGGACATTGGTTTATGATAAGAAATTTTAATGAAATAACTGACCACAATGAGAAAGAAGGTGACAAAAAACGTTCAGACAACTCATTTCTACCTTTTAAATAAATGCTAAGTGATTGCGGGATGTTGGAATTCCCATTTACTGGTGAAATGTTATCTTGGGTGGGATAAAGAGCTGGAAGAACCACCATCAGATGTTGTCTATATAGAACAGTTGGAAATGAGGACTGGCATGAGAAAATTTCTCATTTTATGGTAAAGTATATGAGACTGTGGGGATCGGATCATCGTCCCATCCTAGCAGACATTCTCACTATGAAAATGAGGAAGTCCAAACAATTTAAATTTGATACAAGGTAGCTGGATAATGAGGAACTAATGCAAGTCATTCTTAAGGGATGGAAGTCTCCAGATCTTCCACTGGACACAAGCATTATGGAGCATATCTCGAACTGCCGTAAAGCTCTGAATGACTGGAGGAGACAACATAACTTGAACTCAGAGAAATGTGTGGAGGAGCTTACAGTTAAGGTGGAGGAGTTATATGCTAATGATGACGCCACAACTGAGGAAATAGCAGCAGCCCTAAAAAAATTATCCAATGCTATTAAGACTGAGGAGATGTTCTAGAAACAAAAATATCAAATTTTCTGGTTAAGAGAGGAAGATAGAAATACAAAAGTTTCCCATGCACTCACAAAGCAAAGGAGAGAAAGGAACATAATTACACAGCTTCTGGACCCTGCTGGAAATGTTGTTCAAGATGAGGAAGAATTGGTAGTCATTGCTACTAGTTATTTTCGACAAATTTGAGTCATCTAATCCAGAAGATATCGAGGAAGCACTATCTGAGGTATCTACAACGATTACTGATTCGATTAACGCCGATCTCACCCCTCCCATCATTGAATAGGAGGTAAAATTAGCACTTTTTTCTATGCACCCAGAGAATGCCCCAAGACCGGATGAGATGAAAGCTCTCTTTTATCAAAAATTCTGGGATATATTAAAGGATGATTTAACTCATATGGTTAATAAATTCTTTTTGATGGAACTATGGTGAATAGAATAAATGATACAAATATATGTCTCATCCCGAAGACAGATAAACCGATAGAAATGGGACAGTTCCGACGCATTAGCGTATGTAATGTCAGCTATAAAATAATCTCCAAGGTCCTATGCCACATATTAAAAAAGGTTATACTAGACATAATATTTGAAATCCAGTCAGCTTTTGTTGTTGGAAGGCATATATATGACAATATTAGGATAACTCAAGAAATGTTTCATGCTCTGAGAACTAAGCTAAGTGGATGGAAGAAAATGTTGGCAATTAAAATGAATATGAGTAAAGCGTATGATAGGATGGAATTGTCGTTCATTGAGGCAGTTATGTGGAAGATGGGTTTCTCGGAAACTTGGATACTCTGGATAATGCGCTGCATTACTTCTTTTAAGTACAAAGTGCTTATGAATGGCCAACCAAGAGGTAATATTGTTCTGGACGTCAAGGTGATCCTTTGTCTTCTTTCATTTATAGTATATGCAAGGAAGCGCTCGTTAGCCTTCTTAATCATGCAGAGAATCAAGGAAAGATAACGAGGATGCGTGTTACACGCGCGTGTCCATCGGTATCCCACCTTTTCTTTGCTGATGATATCTTGTTCTTTTATAAGGCGGAGCCACGTGAATGTGAAGAAGTAATGAAAGTGGTCAGGAAATATGGACAAGCCTCAGGACAATATATCAAATTTGATAAATCCTCTATGCTCTTTGGCAAGAGAATTGGTGCAGATGTGAGACAATAGATTAAAGATACCTTATGGATCCAAAATGAAGAAGGGATAGGAACCTACTTAGGCATACCATAAAATATTAGTGGTTCTAAATACAAAGTTTTTGCATTTCTCAAGGATAAACTAAGGAACATAGTAAACGGATGGACATGCATATGGATTTCAAAAGGAGGAAAAGAAGTACTGATTAAATCTATTTTGCTAGTCCTTCCGACATATGTGATGTCATGCCTTCTGCTTCCACTGGAGAATTGTGAAAACTTTGCAAGTGCCATTGCACAGTTTTGGTGGAGTTCAAATTCACCAAAAAGAGGAATTCACTGGGCAAAATGGCAGAAACTCTGCTTACCAAGAGATGAGGGGGGGGGGGATTGCCTTCCG